ATGAATCTTAAAAAATATCAAAAATATTTTTACATGAAATAAATTGATCAAAATACCCTCAAAATATTTTAGGGGTATTTTGGTCTTTATTTTTCACGGATTATAATTTTTTATATTTTTATTAGGTACGGCTTTATGAGAAAAACACATGCCTAAAATTTCATGTGATTTAGATTTTTAGAAAAAAAAAATAAAATTCAAATACTACCGGACATCCGTGATCGTCAGATCGGCCCAGATTCAATCTGGGCCGTTGGGCTTATCTTTTCATGTGAGCTAGTGGGCTCACCTAAGCTTTACCTTGATATATATATATATATATATATATATAAATGCTGAGATTAGCCCATTAGGTCATATCAATATATGTGATGAGCCCAACGGTTTAGATTGAATCTAAGCCGATCTGACGGTCACAACCTCATTTTGTATTTTAATTTAATTTTTTTTTTACAAATCCAAATAATTTAAAATTTTAAGCGTGTATTCTTCAAAAACAGGAGAATCTAATAAAAATATCAAAAAAATAATTTGCAAGAATAAATTGACAAAAACGCCAGTTTATCAATATGCTTTCCTTCTTTTATTCTATGATTCTAGGTTCCCTGCAACATGAAAACATAAATTAATCTACTCATCTACACATGAACAATATAATATGGTTTTTAAATTACAGGGAGTGGTTGCCTCGGGTCTAGGTTTCATATGGATGGCATGGTGCGTGGAGCAAAGGGGTCCGGTCGTTTCAGCAGCATTCACCCCCCTTATTCAACTCATAGTTGCTGCTGTAGATCTGCTAGGGCTTAGAAAGAAGCTGTATCTAGGAAGGTTGATACATATCCTAGTTTTTCTCTTCAACTATAATGTTTCTCTTCACCTTTCTAATTTTCCAAAGAAAACTTATGCACTACTTGGCATGAAGAGATGGCATCATGGTGGGTTGAAAACCATTTTTAATATGCACTAACAAGGGGTGCCAAAGGGGTCAGGTTGACCCTTTTACTCAAAGGGTCGACCAAACATGGGTGTGGGTCTGGATCTCGATAATGGACTAACAATCTCCTCAATATACGAAAATTAAGATTAGAAAGATAATGATGGATGTATTTATTAAATAATTAGTATCTAATAAAAAAACACATTTGTTATTTGGCAGTAGATATGAGAAATGGTTCGGGTTGAGCCACGGACTAACAAAAACCTAGTCAGGTCGGGCCTGGGTTCTAGTCGATATGGATCTGACCTGGCCCATTCCCTGTGTCTTAGAACTTTGTTAGTACAATACCCTTATCTTTTACTATAAATTTGAACTTTGCCGTCATAAAGATAGTGTACCCCTCGTCATTAGTTATATTTCCACATCCGGCCTTATTTAATTAGCAAACTACCACAAAATGTGAAATTTTTTGAACGACACGGTTTTAATGGATCTAGTGACTCGTATGTAAAAATGCATCCTCTCTTCGAAATCTATTTTTGAGACGAATTTTAGTCTCGTTGTTTTTAGTAATATATAATCCCTGACATGGTTATTAATAGTCAAAATATATTCTAGGAGGTAGAGATGTCCGTTCACTCCCTCAAATAAAATCCCACCTAAAACTAATTTTAAGATCTCAATTGGTAATATAATCTATTCAACCCACGTATTTACCTTAATAATTTTTTTTATTAATTATACGCTCTATGCACTTGAAAAAAAAGTTATTTCTTGATATTGAGTAGAGGCTATCCAATTTATAAATAATGAGCTCTAAGCGTTAGAAAACTTAAATTTTTTTTTGAGAATAATCATTTACTAGTTCTTAGGTGTTTCCCAAAATTTCAGATTAAAAAACTCATATCAATAGTTCTTCTTACCAAAGGAATAGAAGTAACTGAAGTAAACTTCTCTCCTAAGGGAACATAATATACGTGCTCTTATGAATATGTAAAAGATAAATAACTATTAAAGACTAAAAAATGATAGTACTATGAGGAATAATTTTAGACCCTTGTTTTTTGTTTTTTTGTCGAGGGACCATCACTTCACATCCATCTTTACAATGCTGTTACATGTAAGACTACGTCACTAAATGCATAATTCACCTTTTTTTTTTTTTTAAACCCATTCTAACATTAACATTTATATTTTCAACTATGAATAATAGATTTACTAGCAATGTTGTTGCATTTTTTAAAAGGCTAGTTCTTTGTAGTATGTTGCTGGTTATGTAATGGTGCATGTCTGATAATCACTAAAAAAAAAAAACACAGAGTACTTTTGTCATCTGTATAGTGAAACGTTTACTAAAAAACAAAGACATTGTACTAATAATGATCCACGGTACTACCTTCACTTATTCCATCTTTCATTGTGCAGTTTGCTTGGATCGATATTGATAGGTGGCGGGTTGTACTGTTTGTTGTGGGGGATAAACAAGGAGAAGCAAGGCTGCTGCTGCAGCTTCTCTACCAATAATGTCCGAGCCGCCGCCGCCACCACCACCACCACCACTACCACCACAAATGAGGAAAATGCATCCAATGCCATCTAAATAGTTGGCAAAATGCCTTGCTGTACTCTGTGAATAAGCACATTCTTCCTGCTCCATTCTTTTCCTAACTCCATGTTCTTTAAATATTTGTATTCTACTTTCACTGCATAGTTCTTGTCATCCTTGTCCCAAAGTTGAGGGCCTCATATACATTTAGAGCAAACATCTATAAAGTGTTTGTTTATCATATACTTGTTATATCAAACCTTGATTATGTAAAATCTTGGTTACTCAAGTAGGACTTATTTGGATGGTTTTGAATGGTACCCAAGTTATGCAAATCTCATGTTTGGATCATCTTTTATCCATAACCTAGTTTGCTATTAGGGGTCGTTTTGTACTGGTGAAAGTTTGCCAAGAAAGTATTTACATGAAAAATATTTACATATGCAAACAATTTACAGGAAAATGATACTTAAGCATGCTTTTTCCCATGTTTGACAAACATCATTGGAAACATGCACGTAGAGCGAGAACACATCCAACTTAAAAATTTAAGAAAGTTTCTCTCTCAAATTTTTTTGAGATAGTTTATCTCTCTAAAAAATGGATAAGGGCATTCGGGCCGTCGAGGCATGGCATGTTGCGAAACCTTGTGTGACACATGGCACCTTGCGTGGCCCTGGCCTAGGGGCAATTTTGTAATTTTCCTATATTATCTTTTAAGTCATCTAACTTTTGATCTGTAGGTCCGATTTGAGTGATTCATAAATCGTGGAAAAGATCTTGGGGTCTACAATGTTTTGGGATAGGGTTTTGGATGGTTTTTGGACAATGTAACTGGGTCTAGGTATTCCAAGGTTCACTAGGGTTTGTGTGGTCTTAGAGTTCGGAATCAAGGTTTTTAGGAATTCACTTAGCCAAAATTTCTAGGGGGTTGTTATCTAAGGTTAGGAAAATCATGGAATTTGCCAGTTTTTAAATATGGGGTATCTACAGTTGCCCCTCTTTGGCACTCCCTGTCCTTCGAGGGACAGGTGCGTGGCAAAAATATGGACACTCTTTGGCGCTCCATATCCTTCAAGGAGCAGGTGAGTGGCAAAAATAATGCAATCATTTTAAATTTCATCTTTACGTTTCGTGGTCAGATGGCACACCAACTATCCCTCCAAGACATTGCATTCCTTGCTCACCCACATAGGGTATTTAATCTTAGGGTTTTCGGCATGAGGTA